TGCAGGAGCAAAATTTGCAGCGGGGGTTGAAGACACACAAATTCACCACTGCCGAGCAAAATTTTAATATGTAGAAAAAAGTAAAAATGAGAATGTTGGTTAAAGACTGGCACCTGAGAGAATCCTGAAAGGAGTCATAACTACTACTGAGTCTTCTTTCCAGCACGCAAAGGGCTGACAATGTGAGGCTAGTCTGTAGGACACCTGAAGAGTGGGATGTAAAAAGAGAATTCAAGAAAGCTCGAAGAAACTCTGTAGATTCTCAAGCTGTAGTCTTGGTTGGGACCCGTGGAAAAAGACTGTGTGGAGTTAAAGAAATCATGAAGTTATGGAAAAAATGGACAGGCTGAGCACAAATTATCAGGACTCACTGATACTCATTAAGAGCTCTGCAGAAATTTAAAAGGAAAATAGCTGAATTTCAAACACTAGTGTGCATTTTTTTCAGTTCTGTAGTGTCAGAAGGTGTAACTGTGATGCCAGAACTGCCTCTCTGAGGATCTTGAGAGCTAGAAGCAAGTAAATGTGTTGTGTCTACCAGACAAATTAATAGAAATTGTAGTAAAATAAACTTTGTTATGTGAAGTCTGGCTTTATAGATCTCTTGTAATTTTTTGTAAGAGTCAGCAAACCTGATCAAGCCAGTAATTGATTTGGGCATGGATGAGTAACTGGCCAAAATCAGGAGGCAGACAGTTGGAAGAAACTTCTGCTGGTAATACAGATATTCAGGGTAGTAAGGAGGAGCGCTAATTGCCGGGGGGGGGGGGGAAGAAAGGCCTTCTGAGATTTAGTAATTATGCAGTACAATGTCAGATGCTGTTCGTTACAGGTAAAAGCAGTGATGCAAGTGGAACAAGCAGTCCTGTGTTGTCATACAAAACAAGAGGCTTTGAAAAGGCTTATTAGTACCAAGGAATAAGACCATGCAGTTCCATGATAACATCAACTTGTTGCTAGGCAGCAGATCAAAAAGCAAATGAAATACTAGGAGCTATTAGAAAAGGAATAGAGAACAAAACAAGACATAATTATGACAATGTATAAATTACATGGCTCACCCAGAAGTTGAGTATCGTGTGCAGCTCTTCTCCTGTCATCTCTAAATAGTTACTTTAAAGCTGGAAAAGGTCCAGAAAACAGCAGCGGGGCCGGTGGAGTTGATTCTCTGTAAGGCAGAATTAATTAGAATGGAGGTCTTCAAGAAAGAAATTCAGGGAATGAGTAAATCACTGGAAGTGCAGAGAGGGCAGACAGGGTTGGAGAATAAGATGAATTGGGCCTATCAATTAAACCTAGCAGGAGCCAGGTTCAAAACACGCTAGAGGAAGCACTTCTTCACCTAGTGGATAGTAAAGACACTGCCAAAAGACCCTCAGGCTGCAAGAAGTTGATGGTGCCTGGAGCAGGTTGGATGTACACTTGGAAAAGAGATACCCTGTGTGCTGATACATAGACGAATCACTACACGACAAACCACAAGTGATTAGAAAGTAGAATATGAAGGCAGAGGGAAGTATTGTTTATGCTTGATCTCATTTTTTGTTTGTTGTTTTATGTAACTTCTGGCCACTCACAGAGTTAGAATACAAAACTATGTTGAAATGATAAACTGACTTCATTTAGATTTGTCCCGGTCTTCCAAGGTGAAAAATCAAGTCAGTGATAGATATGAATATCATGCTGTGTCACATAAAACCTAAAAACTGTTATCCAACACAATCATCTGATCATTTCTCTGATTTTTCATTACAGGGATAAGCAATTTTTTGCAAGACTTTGGTAGTCATATGGATTTTCAGAAATGTCTTTTAATACGAAAACATAGCACCATGAACATATAAAAATGTCCCATTCAAATGTCTCATGAAAAATGTTTCGAAAGCATTAAATAATGTACACCTAAGAAAAAGCATGTGTTGACTGTAGAGTTTTCTTCCCCTTGCAAGAAAACTTATTTCTCATTAGACTGCTTTAAAATCCCTCTGTCAGGTGCAGAAAAAAAAAAATCTCTTTTACGCTGAAGGCTCCTTTATTAAAATATGTGTGTGAATTGTAAGACTCTTAAGTGGAGGAATTTTTCTTTGGATGCCAGTTCTGCATTGCAGTTTGATAGTTATGATTCTGTAGCACTAATATTCAAAGGACTTTTGTAAAAGATGGAAGGTGTTCTACAAAACCAAAACTGTTCTTTATGAAAATTTTGTTTCCATATACAGACAGCAATTTGGAAGAATTTCCTACTCTCCTTCACTGTGCAGCCAGATTTGGATTAAAGAACCTTGCAATGTTTCTGCTCAGTTGTCCTGAAGCCACATTGGCTTGCAAAATAACCAACAAATACGGAGATGATCCAGCAAGTGTCGCTGAGAAGCATGGGCACAGGGAGCTGAGAAAATTAATCAAAGAATTGTCAGTAAGTCCATATGCTTTTTCATGTCTTCCATAACTAGGGAACTCTGTGTTGTTGAGATCCCATAGAATCTCCTCTTGTAAAGCCTAATATGTTGTAGTTTGTCTGCCTGAAAATAGGTTTATACCTCCTGCCTCAGAAAGAGGGTTCAAAATGGGGTAACACCACTTTGTGTACCATCATAATGGAGAGTTTTTGTGCTGCTTGAATTTTTGGTGTGTAATGGCAGAACAGTGAATCAGAAGTATCTTATGTGGCCTAGCTAGACTGAGGCTTTCAGTGCCCAAACAATGGGTATATTCTAAGTAGTCTAGCCCACTGTCTAGAGTAGGAGATAAAGACTTCTTTAAAGAAGTCTCTTTAAAAGTGACTCTGAGTTCTCTTAGCATTGCCACTCCTCAGCATTCAATAAAGAATGGTTGTCCTGTCTTGGTTGGCCACTTCACTGTGAAAGAAGGCTAAATTTCATCACCTTTTGTTAGACAGAGTAAAATCTTTTTTCAGCTTGGTATGCAGAGAGTGGTTTGGGGCAATAGTTGTCTTTCCGTATGAAAGATAATAATATAATAAAGGTCTGTGCATACTTCTAATGCAAACTATTGCCAAGAACATCTAACAGAATTGGCGGTGTAGAAGGCAATATACTGTAGTAACATTTGAGAGCTTTAACCTGGTTTAAGTCTTTATTGTGCTCGCTGTAATATAAGCAGAGATGGTAATTCCTGCCACAGAGGTTTTAAAGCCTAGAGAACAAATCAGGTAAATCCACTATCAAAAGAAGTACAGAGTGTGAATGTTTGCATAAGTAAGCCTATGTTGTGAGGACTAAGTGCAGCTTTGCTGATGGTGTGATATTTCTGGGGTTTTTGTTTTTAGTGTTGGTCTCCATGTTCACAGACAAACAGACATGTAAGAGGAGAAAATGCAGTGAGTGAGAAAGCCAGAAATTTCACTTTTGTGTTAACCAATCATCTTGATGTAAACAGGGATAGACATAAGACCAAGATGGCATTTGAAGAAATATAGTATCTGTGTAGATTTTGTAGGGGAGTGTATGACTAAGGAAGAAAATGCAAGAAACCTAAGAGTAGTTTAATGTAGAAAGAGGTACATAGTAAGAAATGGAAACATTGACTGATTGAGGTTAGTTATTAAAATTTTAGAGCAAGGACATAAGGATTGGTCAAGCTTTTTGTTTGATGCAGTTGGCATCTAATGTAAAGTTGAAGGAGAGGCATCAGGAAAACTGAAGGCAAGTTTACTGTGATCAGTGTTGAACCTTGAAAGTGGCTTTAGCAGTGTTTTATGAGCAAGTTGGTGTTTTGTTTGTTGTGTTTTTTGGTGGTGGGTTTTTGTTTTGTTTTGGGTTGTTGTTTTTTTTTTCCCCAGTAAGTTCAGGGAGAAGAAAATTGCAGACCCTAGAGCCTGAAAGTAAGGCATTTTGGTATTGGTGAAGATGCTGAATGAGAATATACTATTTAACTTTTTGTTGTTGAACAGCTATTGATTCAGACTCTGAGAACACTGAGAGCAGGAGAGTATCAGCAAAGCAGGCATTTCTCCTTTTCCAATACTGTTAAAGGAAGCTCACACCTTATTGAGGATGTGATCTGGTGTCTTTTCTGAAGCGACCAAATATTTCCTTGCATTTACTGGACAATGAATCTGATCAGATGTCAAAAGCACTGCAGAGCTTTTTCTGTTGATGGGAGTGCAAAGGGCTGTTGTACTACAGAGGTGATGCCTTTACCTCAGTTTTTGATAATGTAGTTGAGATCAAATATACCTGAAGAAAATGTGATCCTCCTTACCATCCAGCATAAAGCCGTCCACAAAACCAGACTGTCTTCCTGCATCAACATGTTAGTAAATCCACATTTAACAATTTCTAATTGCAATAGCTGTCTTGGTCATGCTTGTGCTGGCCTGAGAGCTCCTGCCAGTAGCAGTCTGATGTATAAGGTCAGGCCCCTCTGCTCTTGGAGATTATCAGTTTGCCTTGAATAGACTGGAACTGTTTTCCCCAGCATCCCCATGGATCTGGCTAGATGCCATCTTTATATGTCAGGTACCCCCCGGCACACACTATGTGTAAAGGATTGGTAAGACTAGGCAGAATGTGCAGGATGTGAATAAGGTGATATTTAACTCTCAGTGAGATACCGAGATTTCTAAGTTGAGTCTAGAAACAGTTTCCATTGCTAATTTCTCATGTTTAATGATAATGGTTAATTCTGTAGGATGTTTATTTTTTATGCTACTGTTGTAGAAACTCACCCCCTGCACTACAGACATGTCCCTGTTGTGCATCCCACATGGGACTGGAAGCTTCAGAAAATGGGTAATATTCTTTGTATCCTTAGAAACACACCCATATTCAACCTCATGCTATAGTTTAGGGCCCCTGTAAGAGGAGACAGAAGCACAGGTGGTACTGGCAGACTAGAGCTACTGTGCATTGAGAGAATGTGTTCCATGTCTTTTTACCTTTTCGTAAACTTTGTCTGTGACAGAAGGCAGTGGCTGTCAGAGTGATAGATTTCACTCTCACAAGCATTCCAGGTATGTGCTTACCTCTGATTAGCTTTTCTTTTTCAGTAGGATTATTAATTGTCCTAGTAAAGTCTCAATATAAAATTATCAATCTTAACATTGTATTTATAATGATAACTGACTTTATACAATGTGTAAATGTTTTTCATTAAAACTGTTCCTTCATGGTACATACCTGCTATTGTTTGCCGGTAAACAGGTAACAACAGTTGTTCTTTGCTCATGACTGCTCTCCCAAGTGTAAACACTTAAACCAGCACTGAAGTGAAAACAAGTCTACTACCATTGTAAGCGTGTGTAGTCTGGTTAGGACATGCAGTTCTACTATCCATTTCCAGTTGATTAAAATGGCATGGCTTACTGATGCTACATAAGTGAAAACTGTCTGCCAAATGCGTAATACGGTATTTTAGACATGTTAGCTCCAACCGCTGGAAGAAAAGTGGCTTATTTGTGTGCCCTGTAATAAGTGCACATAAGAAGAAAAACACTTACTGTACTTCTGTAATTGATGGGAATGTGAAAAAGAAATATTTGCATGGATCTGAGCCAAGCAGAATTTAGTTTAACCATGTTCCAGGAACTTCCTGTTACAGCTGGAGTACTGAAATTGCTTGTTATTACAGTAGAGGTGCTTTTGTACTTGACATACCTCTCACTGTTTTAAAATGGTTGCCTGTGTTTTGCCATTCCCTTAAGGAATAGCCCCAAAACATACACAATAATTCATTACTTCTACCTTAAAGAGCAATAGGGTTCCAGAAAAATGAATGTATTAAAGCCTACATTCAATTTGTCCAAAACCCTGGAAAGTGTCTTTAATTTGCCTTTGTGCTGGAGAACCCTTGAGGAAGCAACAATTCCCTGAGAATGTTTAAAGAGTGCAAGCATCTTCAAGGCCAGGGCTCTGCTGTGCAGCCCTCTTCGGTGGCTGGTGAGCAGACCTGTGCTTAGACCTTTCTGGTGATGTAGCTTTGCTGGTAGGGCCCTTCAGCTCCCCTGGCTTACTAGAAAGGTGCTCAGGCTGTGTTGGCAAAAGTGGGCTGTAGGAGCTGGCTAACTTGCACACTGGGTCATCTGTATGGCACAAGTTCTCTGTCCTTGTTTAAATGGAAAGCTTCTTTCTGCAACTGGCCACCAACAGCATTGAGGTGGGGAGTGTTACAGCCACAGAAGGCAGATCTGAAGTGCCTGGGGGGCATGCTGGGAGCTGATCACCTGATTTGTGTCAAAACAAAGCATGAGGGAAGGCTCACATAACATGTGGCATGCTTCTGTTGATACAGCTGTACGAATGGGGTTGCGGAGAAAAAGATTTTCCACTTTAGTACCAGTGTTAACGTGCAAGATCATTAAATGCTAAAACATCACACCCTTTAAGAACATGTATAAATGCGTTCTTCTGTAAGTGGTAGGGTCTGCCTTCTCTCTTAGGAATCCTACATTTCGAACACTCCTTGGAAATGTCTTGTGCTGAGGGAACACTGCAAGACTTGATCCATTTGTGTTAAAGGTACTAAATTGATGGACCTGTCCCTAAAAGTCTTTAATGGGAATTATGATAAAGCTGAGTTTCAAATGTGCCAACAGTTTATTAAGCAAATTGTATTTTTCTTGCATTTTAGCAAGAAGCCACCTCAGTGGACATTCATTTCCAGTTTTTACATGTTTCATTATAGTTCAGATGAAGGAATTCCCTCTTCTATAGCATACAAGAGGGCTATTGCTTAACATCTTGTGATAACATGATGAATTGTTACTTTGTAGTGTGACTTTATTCCTCTATATAACCAAGTACTTGAATATTTTCCATAATTGCTTCTAGGTTGCATTGCTTGAATCAAGCATGTGAATGTAAAGCTAATAAGAAACATTCAGGAAGAATACTGGCAGGAATCCTTTTCTTGGAAGAGCCTTTTGAGTTTAGTTTATCCAGCTGATTGTTCAAACGCCAGTAAGAAAGGCCAAAGTACTTTTGCTTTCCATTAGCCACAGGCTCAAACCATGTTTGCGGTCAGTTGTTAGAGTACCCATGATAGTAATACCTTGTTAAGCTGCAGCAGTTTGCTTGGGTATCAGCGCCCTGTTTCAAACGTTTGTCTTTTGCATATGCTCTGTACCTGAAGCTGCTTTGACATTAGCCTGTTGTTCTTGTCACCAGCTGTGGTCTTCTAAGCCTACATAAAAGTTCCACCTCCAGAAAAAGAGGAAAAAAGAAATCACTTAACTGAAGTTCTTATCCAGCACACAAAGGAAGACTTCAAAAAATAGATGAGAGAAAATTTCTTTGCATTAAGTGACTAATGAGGGGAGTATGTTCCATTTGTGACCTAACCATTTAAAATTAGAGGTTGCACTGATAGCCAGTTTAAGCATTTATGCTTTGGTATGGGCGTAATTCTTTGTTCCAGCACTTTGAGTTGCTAATTTCTCCCTTCTTTTACTAAGAA